TAAATCATGAGAAATTAAACAGGGATGCACCACATCCTTTACCTTGCACGTATCATCACTTTGGCATCCTGGCAGCAGGTTATCCTCGGTGCTTGCCTGGTAAACCTCCATCCCCTCCGGATAACCTTCAGCAACCAGATGCTTGTGATCCAGTCGAATGTCCTGCAGACATCCCTTGAAGTTTCCACCCCAGGCGTTCGTGCTCTTGCCTGCAGGGAGCCCTCCAACATATGCCACATCCCCGGCTTCTACACTCACGTTTCCTAAGGCACGATTATTGCCCGCTTTGGGAAAAACCACATGGCCACAATGTACCTTTACAATCACCAAATTATTTTTCCCGTCAGTAACTGATCTCGCTTCTGAGAGAAGCGTGGTGTGAGGACTGTAGAGAGCAACAGTGCCTTCTTTCAGGTAGATAGTCAGGTAGGCGTCTCCTTCTCGGTGAAACTGCAGGAGCATGCCACTGTGTTTGAGAGAGCGCATGAAAAACGAAACGGTAAAGTTGTCACCGTGAGTTTCTGATATGTTGAACATAGAGTAGCTGGTGCTGTTTTCATGTCCAAAGGTCCAGGAAGGGTACTCTGAAGTAGAGGGAAGAAGGAAAGAGTTTTAGTGTTTTATCTCATGAACTATTAGATTTTATTATATTTATGCAAATGTGTTCGTTTTTTTTCATATTCAGATTTTAAGTACTAACCAAATGACGAGCACTGTGACATGTATGACTCAGGCTGACTGCAGTTGGTTAGTGAGCTCTTCAGTAGCATCAGTAGCATTTACTATTACATTCTTTCTTTATGATATTAGAATTTCATTATGATTATTTGTGTGATATATCATATAAGATCCCAGAGCAAACAGTAATGTTTTTAATTCAAAAACTAAACGTAATTGGCTAAATTAGTTTAAATTAAGTTGTGCAGAAACCACAACTGCACACTAAGGTAAAATAAAAAGGTGTTACTCAGTTTTTAACTAATGCATTTTGGGTCATTTTCTGCTTTGTGAATAAATTTCATATTTCATTGCTTTACATTCTGTACTCGGTATTTTTGAAACAATTTCATTCAATTTTCTTTTATTTCTATAGTTTAATTTCACAACAACAACAATCCCCTCAAACAGAACCGACTTTGAACGATACCCAGCTTCA